ACCGAAGGAGATGATGGCGTCGCCTACATCCATGACCAGAAGCGTCGCTCCTATGAAGGGCCTGCCCACTCCTCGCAACTGGAGGAAGTGATCGGAGATGTAGCCTGCGCCGAACCTCCCTGAGAAGTTCCAGATGCTCCAGAGCGACACCAGGGTGCTTGTCTCCCTGCTCATGTAGCCAAAGGATCCCCTGATCTGTTTGACGTTGTTCGCCGTGGCTAGCCCCGATCCCATCCTGCAAGCCATCGCAAGGAAGAGCAGCCAGTAGTCGAGTTTACACATGGCCTGCACCAGATACAGGTTTTCTTTGTGTGATGACATGTCCTGACCAGATACCACAAGCGCAGTGCTAGAGCTTGCTCTTCTCATTGTTTTGATTCCGTCTTGTGATCTGTTACAACAATAACTGCTGGAGACATGATCAACAACAGGAGTATCGCGAAGCAAACACTGTCCAGCTGAACTTATCACGAATACTTGGTGAAAGATTATGACAACCATCAAGTACCCGGCAACAGACACGGCCATGACAGCGAAGGCATCAAGGAACTTCTTGTTGTAGCGCCGATGAGCGCTGTCGACGTCGACAAAGTACATGAGCAGCAATGCGATGGTTGCGGGTAATATTGCTAGCATAAGTATGAAGCTGCCAGGATCAATATGGAGGGTGTGCTGCACCTGGACCTGTATTGCTCCACTCAAGCCCAGAAAACCCTGTTCGAAAAAATGCATAGACGGTTTAATGCCATATAAAGGATGAGGACATATCTGTACTATTGTAACAAGACAAAACATGATACACTGCCTCATAAATGTGCCTTACGATTGCTAGTTTGCTACGTTGTCGAGAAACAGAGTGCAGGTTAGGATTATTGAGCAAAGTGTGTGCAATGTTGGATCCACATCGTCAGAGTTGTGAATATAGTTAGCTGAAAACTCAAGACAATAACGCTGAAAGTTCGTGCAATTAACACAAATGGCAGGTACAGGATTTTTAGAAAATAAACATGGTGCTAAAAGGACGAGGCCAGCAAAAGAAGGCTGAATTATTGCCTCTCTAGTGTCTCTGGGCCAGAACACATTATAATGAAACAGTGACTGTGCCTACACAATTGTACTCTTCCTCTAGAACGAGTAATGCTGCCTCCCAGGGAGCAAGAATTACTACAAGTCTAAGAAATCACATTACTGTACTTTTCGGCATATATATCATCTGTATACTGTGTTATGCCACCAGAACAGATTCCTCACAGTCACAGCACATAAGAAAGGAACTGAAAGCAAACAAAACACATGGTTCTTGTGATTTTTGATTCCTCAGCAGTCACAGCAGAGGATGTGGCCCTTTTGATTTCACATGGATTTTGATACTTCTGATTTCATCAGTATACTTTGGATATATATACCGAGTTTCACGATTTGGTCCCACCGAGTTTGGTAAGTTGTGTGTAATGGTTAGATTTTGTGTGGTGGCTATATATACCCCTCCACCCACTCTTCACTCGTGGAGAAAGCCATCAAAACGTGCCTACACTTCCAGTATACATTTTCTGAGAGAGAACCACCTACACTTGTGTTGAGGTCAAGATCTTCCATTCCTACCACATAAATCTTGATCTCTAGCCTTCCCCAAGTTGCTTTCCACTCAAATCTTCTTTCCACCAGATCCAAATCCTGTGAGAAAGAGTTGAGTGTTGGATACTATCATTTGAAGCACAAGAGCAAGGAGTTCATCATCAACACACCATTTGTTATCTCTTGGAGAGTGGTGTCTCCTATATTGGCTAGGTGTCACTTGGGAGCCTCCGTCAAGATTGTGGAGTTGAACCAAGGAGTTTGTAAGGGCAAGGAGATCGCCTACTTCATGAAGATCTACCCCTAGTGAGGCATGTCCTTCGTGGGCGACGACCATGGTGGGATAGACAAGGTTGCTTCTTCGTGGACCCTTCGTGGGTGGAGCCCTGCGTGGACTCGCATAACCGTTACCCTTCGTGGGTTGAAGTTTCCATCAACGTGGATGTACGATAGCACCACCGATAGCACCACATATCGGAACCACGGCTCAAAAATCTCCGTGTCTCCAAATTGCGTTTGCACGCTCCAATCCCATCCCTTTACATTCTCGTAATTTGCATGCTTTACTTTCCACTGCTCATATACTCTTTGCATGCTTGCTTGATATGTATTGTGAATGTTAAACTTGTGCCAAAACTCTACTTCAACTTAAAGAATTTAAAAACTGCAACTTTTTTGCTTAAAGTATATTCACCCCCCCTCTAGACACCTCTTCTCGATCATTTCACCTGCCCAAGCGCCGAGCCACCTCGCCGCGGCTTCTCACTGTTCACGAGCAGGCCGGCGAGGGCGGCGAGCACCATGAGATGCTCCTGCTCCTGGACGTCGGCTTCGGCTTCCTCATCCAGCAACGCCACGAGCGCCTCCTCATCTTCGGAGTCCATTGCCGGGCTGGCAATTCACCGAACACCTTATGGGCGAGGTGGGCGCAAGCCCGCCGGTGTACAGGCCCTGTGCGGCCGGAGCGCCGGAAAAGGTGCCCGGGCGGCGGCGAAGAGGTTGCCTCGGCGAAACCCCTTCTTTTTCCCGGCGGGAGATGGTCTACCTAGCTGCGGCGGACGGTGGTCGGCACCGGGATCGGCAGGGTCGTGCAGGGTGGCGGCCGAGCGCGGGGGGTAGGAGGCGAATCTGGGCGGGTGGCTTGACTTTTCGCCTGTTAATGTGGCCCCGGGAGCACTTTTCCTTTGCGCCCCCCCCCCCAGTGCGCCGGGTTCGGCTTGCGAGCGCCGGGCGCAATAACGGGCCGAGCCGGCGGAATTCGACGTCCTGGGGGCACGACTGTGCCGTTTTTTCGACGCCGGCGCAAATAAATTCCCTGCGAAGGCCGGTCTGGGGGCGCGGCTGGAGATGCTCTAACATAGGAATAGAGGCTGAAAAATGAGTGCTCTCAGCGTGAACTTTTATAAGATGTTATAAAAAAAAGTGAAGGCTCAGAAGAAAAGAAAAAAAAGACTGACATCAATCCATACTTCTAGCCCCCCTCATGACGAGTTAACATCAACTTCAGGTGACAGGCCCGTGGCTTGGCCTGGCTAGAAGTATGTGATGACTGCCTTTTGCCTCGACAGACCCTGGACCAGCAAGCTGGTGTATATGCTTGCGTCGTCGGCAATACGCGAGTCACTACCAGGTTATTTAGACCGCGACGTAGGATTCGTAGCGAGCGGTGTGGTACTAATGTTTCTTTGGGCACGGTGTGGTACACGCCCAACCGAGCGGTGTACTCGTTCACGGCCCAGCGAGCCACCTCGATCGTCTTCCGTCCAGCTAAGCTATGCCTCTTGTCCTCGGGGCCATCAGCACCATGCAAATCGTCACCCATGCTTCATCTCACCAAGGACCGAGGACCATGCATGTCACCTGCCGACCTCATGCATCTCTGATTAGTTTCATAGCTACGTACTATTGTATTATACACATGCAAATTTTTATACTAGCCTGTTGTAACAAGATGCAATAATCAATCATCTAAATTTTTTTCATGATGCAATTAACAGTCGTAATCCTGACGCATCTGGTTGGCTACAAAACTGAGCTATCTAAGCCAACTCTTCATTTGCCATTGGATCCATTAAGTAATCTCGTTTTCATGGACTGTTCGATCAACGACCACGACAACACGTGCTTAACTAAGCTTCAACCTCAGCAAAATCACCACACGAACCATTGGCATTATATACGCAACACGTACACGCATGTCCAGTCCAGTCCAGGTCACTACGGCTTTCCATCGATACAATATCAGGAGGAGCTCCAGCCTCCAGGTCCGCCCATGGCAGCGGCGGTGGTGGAGAGGTGGGCAGGACTCGGATCAGCGGTGGCGACCGTCATCTTCCTCTGATCCGTGCTGCAGAACTACGTGTCCCCACCTTCCGCCTCTGCCTCACCACCTGGGCTGCCAAGCTCGCAACCTGCTTCAACCCCTACCTCCAGATCACCATCTCCGAGTACTGCGCCGAGCGCTTCCGGCGCAACGACTTCTTCCTCACCGTCGAGGCCTACCTCAGCGACGTCTGCGCCCGCCGCTCGCGCAAGCTCAAGGCCAAGCTCGGCAATGACAGCAAGAACCTCCGGGTCTCCGTGGACGACCACGAGGAAGTCACTGACGACTTCTTCGGGACCACCGTCTGGTTGTACGCCTCCAAGAGGCAATCCAAGGCCAACGTCACCCATTTATACCCCGGCCAGGACGAGAGGCGCTTCTACCGGGTCGTCTTCCATCGACGGTAATGCGACCTTGTGGTTGACTCCTACCTTCCTTTCGTACTCGGTGAGGGCCGCGCTATCACTGTGAAGAACCGCCAACGCCGCCTCTTCACCAACAATGCTAGTGGCAGATGGAACCCCTACCAGGGCAAAAGCGTCTGGAGCCATGTCCCCTTCGAGCACCCTGCCACCTTTGACACGCTCGCCATGCACCCCGATGAGAAGGAAGCTGTCATCAACGACCTCATGGCCTTCCAGGAGAGCGAGAAATACTACGCCAAGGTCGGCAAGGCGTGGGCACCTCCTTTACGGACCGCCCGGCACCGGCAAGTCTACCATGATCGCCGCCATGGCCAACTTCCTCGACTATGACGTCTACGAACTCGAGCTCACGGTGGTCAAGAAACACCGAGTTGCAGAAGCTCTTCATCGAGACAACGGGCAAGTCCATCATCGTCATAGAGGACAGTGACTGCTCCGTCGACTTCACAAGAAAACGCCGCAAGGACAAGAAGGCCTCAAGCGACAAGGACTCCGACAACGTTGACAAGCCCAAGCTATCGATAGAGCCAGAGAAGGACGATGCCACCAAGGTGACGCTCTCGGGCCTGCATAACTTCATCGACGGGCTGTGGTCTGCTTGCGGAGGTGAGCGGATCATCATCTTCACCACCAACCACAAGGAGAAGCTGGACCCGGCGCTGATCCGGCAGGTCAGGATGGACAAGCACATCAAGATGTCCTACTGCCACTTTGAGGGCTTCAAGGTGCTCGCAAAGAACTACCTACATGTCATTGAACACGAGCTGTTTGGGGAACTTCAGCGCCTGCTCGAGGAGACCGACATGTCGCCTGCTGACGTTGCAGAGAACCTGATGCCCATGTCCAAGAAGAAAAAGAGGGACCCAGATGTGTGCTTGATAGGCCTACTCGAGGCGCTCAAGCAGGCCAAGGAGGAAGTGGCGGCGGCCATGGTGAAGGAGGCAGAGGAGGCTCAAGCGAAGAAAGCCAAGGAGATAGAGGTGAAGAAAGCCAAGGATGGAGACAAAGAGAAGGACAAAGCACCCGAGGCAACCAATGGGGATATTAAGCAAGGTGACAAGTGAAGTGACATCACGCCATGAAGCCAAGAAAAAAGAGTGAGCTTGTTCACTAGTGCTCCCTTACAAAACAAAAATGTAGTGTTTGTTGAGAGGAAAATAATGCACCTCTCAACTGAAACAATATTTTTTTCTTCTCTCACTTGTAATGTTGCTGCATATATCCCCGCAAAAAAAATGTTGCTGCATATAATGTGTGCAACAATACACATTGCTACTGTAATAAGAAGCACACGCTTCACCTACACCAAAAGGCTAACAAGTTGTTTTTTCAGGGAATCAAAAAATAACACATGGTATCATGCAGGCCTCCTTTCCATTTCACCAACACAATGTCGCCACTACGCATGACAGTGACAATATGCAACTAGCAATCGAATTTCTCCTGCTCCTGGAGTAAATTAAGCAACCTAAATCTGAATTGGCCCGTTCATTCATTAATTAACTAATTAAGCAACCCAATTCTGCATTCTTTCAGCCCTGACCAAATGTAACATGATATTGTTGTAAGAACAGAACAAAAACAGAGCGTCGTTTACAAAACAAAAGACAACAGTCTAGCGTATATAACTCGTCTATAAAACTTGCTTGTTCTGATGAAGTATTCAAATGCTACAGCAGACCCGAAGACACAGACACATGGCAATGATCAGAAAAGAGAATGCGAAGCATTGCTTACCAGCGCACGCAAGCTCACCTTATGGATATATAGATGGGTAAGTGAGATTAATAATTTGTAAGACGAGCATGTGCAGAAGAGGCATGATTTTGCAACAAATTTAAGCATAACTACATTATAATCAATGATGAGACGGATTGAGGAAACTAAAATAAGGTTAGATGTAAGATCAATACTAATGCTTAATCATCACTGGACAATTTCTAAACTCTTTAGTTTTAGATCTACACTAATGACCAAATAAGAAGGAATAAAGACAAACAAGTCAAACCGTGCAAATTTTGACTGAATTTCTAGAAAAAATTATCCAGAAATTGAACGCCAAATTAGTATCAGCAAATACATAATAATATATTTTTTAATATCACTATTTTAGGGTAAATATATTCTTTAGTATTATAGTCATTGATAGTTTTTCCTACAAAGGTGGTCCACTTTACACCGCTTGATTATAGACAAACTTTATGGGCCTTCTTCTTTTGGTGTGAGAGGGAGTACAATAATTTTGACACCAGGTATGTTAGCTATATTTAATTATTTTATTTTTCTCAATAAAATTAATTATTTTATTTTTGATGGTACAGAACTAGGGCTATAAAAAATTAATCAGATAATACTTAGTCTGGAGGAGGATAACTGGCTGAGGTCGAGGAACACTAAAGAATCATTCTAGGTCGCTAAATAGGCTCTTTTTTTGCTATAAACTTTTCTGTAACCTATGTGAATATAATGGTATCTGAACACATTAACTTTGAAAAAATTAATATGTAAAACATATTTTTATAACGGTAAAACAAATCTAGCGGCACAAACGCGGGTTACCCTTAGGGATGTAAATGGTACAGATAATTCCTGTTTCGGATCAGTATTTGCATCCGTTTCTAAGGATATGGTCTGCACTTGCACGAATCCATCGGATATGGATATAGGTATGGATTTTGATCAACCGGATATCCAACGGATATGGTATCGATAATATCCATCAGATGTGGATTACCCGGTACTTTTACGAATTATGTGAGGTTGTGAAATATGATTAACTTCTAAGCTCAGCCCTATCAGCAAGCCTGATATATAATTCGCCCACCAATTAGAGTCACCGGATATAAAATTGATGATGTATTGGTGTGAGCTTTTTCTTTACAAAAATAGCAGATCTATTATAAAGATTCATCGGAAGTACACAACATCCCAAACATTATAAAAATTACATCGGAAGTATAGCTTCTCCTCTCCTCCTGTGGCCGCAACGACAACGACAACACGTGCTTAGCTATGTTGACATATAATTGTACTGCCTAATCTATTCCATCAGATCGGCCTTTTGGTTGCATTGGCTAGAGCATGCACTTCTACATGGTATCAAAGCTAAGAGGTCTTGAGTTCAAGACCCGGCTGGCGCAATTAAATTGCAGATCATTTTACCGAAAAAGGCTTTCGCCCCGCTTTATAAATAAAGCAAACCGCCAGAGAGCATACATACAAGGACTAGTCCACACACACACCCAAGTCTCACAAATAAGTACAGAGGTTCATTGCAGCCCATTTTTGGTCCATGTTTAGGTCTCAGGGAGCCACACGTGAGGGGGAGTGTTGACGTATAATTGTATTGCTTAATATATTCCATCAAATCGGTGTTTTGTTGCATTGGCTGGAGCATGCACTTTTACAAGCTGAGCTTCAACCTCAGCAGAATCACCACATGAACCATTAGCATTATATACGCAGCACGTACACGCAGGTCAATTAGGCTGGCATATAGAATCCTCATCAATGTGCTCAAGCTAATGTCATTACTGTTGGGGATATAACTATTAGGCATGACCCGCCCAAGAGGGGCCGGGTTATACCTATGGCTACTCAAAGATATGAAGCCCAAGACGACACTTGAAGATGGCGGTTCAGTTAAAGGGCCCAAAGCCCAAAGGCGACATAAAGCCCGTAGAGATAAACCGTCATATATATCTAAATTGTATTGTAAGGAAGGAATAGCAAGAGACCGAGCCGGACACTGTTTATGAGCCGGCCGGGACTCTAAGAGCCGCTGGGCGTCGACCTCTGTATACAAAGGGATGACCCGGCGGCGGTTCAGGGCAAGTAACATCAGATCGAGAGCTAGGTCAAGCAGATTCGCTCCCTAGTAATCGAGACATAAGCAATCCCACTCAAAACTGGATCATAGGCTTTTACCTTCACCGTAAGGGGCCGAACCAGTATAAACCCCGTGTCCTTTGTCCCGATTAACCCCTTTAAACTTCCTAGTTGCGATGGCACCAGGACTAAGTCCTTCTACTAGGACATTTGACGTGACAATTCCACAACAATTACGAACTTGAAGTTCATCCATTTGAAAAAGAAGGAAAGGTTTACATGAGAGAGGGGAACTTGGCATCTCTGTGGGTCGTTCTCATGTAATACTTATTACATTTGAGATACTTTGTACTTTCTATAAATTTTAATAGGAAAGCATTAGTATATGGCCGACCGGCCCAACTTTACACCGGCTGCTCGATCCGAACTAATCGTGCGTCTCACAACTACTACCTTATCTCGTCAGTCGATCAGCGTCATCTCTCTCACCTGCATCTCCCTCTTCCCTGTGCCAACGACCGCCCATCTGCTCCCCCGCATAGATGGCAGCCAACCTCCTCCTCCCCCGTGTCGATAGCCTCACCTCCTGCTCCACTGAGTCACACCGATGGAGCCGCCACCACGCGTTGGATTTGCTGCGACCAGCCCCACGCTCGCAGCGTGCTCCCCTGGCCTTGTCGCAAGCACAACAAACACCAATGAGCTCGAGGCCAGAAGTTACGAGCTATGCCCCCGACGCGGTGCTGCTTGCTACTACCCCGATAGCCGCCATTGTTGGAAATGGCGATCACAGGAGCTGCAACCGCCAACAGCCGACGCTAGAGCGAGGTGCGTTTCTGGTGGCGTAGAGTCGACATGCTACAACCGGCATGATTTTGAGCTACAATCAGCTTCTCCTTTTGCTGAAGCGGCGAGTTTTTTTTTGTTGTGGCCGCCGGCGGCGAGGTAATTTTGTTGGAATTGGCTTGTTTATTTTTTTTGCTCGAACACACAAAACATTTTGCTTCAAACCGGCGACGCCGGCGGAATTTTTTGCTTTAGCCCGACAACGGCGGGGCAATATTTGCTGGAATTGTTTTTTTTTTCTGCAACCGGCTACTATTTTTGTTACTACCTCGACCGGCAGGCACGACGGAGCGGAATCAGTGACCATGGCGAGCTGCGTTAGGTCACGAACCATGGCAGCAAGGTGCTACAACCATGAATTGGCTTTGCTGGAACCGTTGCGGCGACGAGGTACAGTGTCACCACGGCAAGCCGGCGAGCTTCGAGGCCTGCATGAGATGTTGCAATCACTCAGGCCGTTACTGGAACTAGTGCAAGTGTAGGCTGCGAGCGCCGATACATCGGGATCCATGGATGTTGCAACCGAGAGTGATGGCGCCGGCGAGGCGTGGTGCTTTGGACCAGAATGGCGTTGTTCCTCTGCCGAGGGTGATGGGATCTGCGGTACTGCACGAGATGCGGCATGGGGAAGGGGCGGTGGGGAGTTGAGCCGAAAAATATTCTGCAGATTCTCTAGGACTACCATGTGGAGGTCATTGACTACTACTCTGGGACTCCTACTTTCCTTTTGTCCTCGGCAAGGGCCGCTCTGTCACCGTCAAGAACCGCCAACGCCGCCTCTTCACCAACAATGCCAATGAAAGCTGGAACCCCTACTAGGGGAGTGAATAGCAAAAACCATCGACAAAGAATGCTTGCTTGGTTTGCAGGAAACACATGTTTACATTTTTGTGCCAAAATTCAAATTTTGCACCTATTTTTTCTAGGGAAAACTGGTTGGTGGGTTAGACCATTTTGAGCGTGACTATGACAGTTGGGACCTGCAAATGGTGACGTAGTATAACTGTTCATGTGCAGGCTCCATTATAAGGCGACCGACCGAAACATTTTCGTCAAAAT